TAGGTTGCCGACCCCTGAAGTATAGTTTTGAATTTCTTGTATCTGATTTTTTTTCATTGTAGAGGAAAGAGGAATTCTGGTATTTAAAAAAACAGCATAAAAAGGAAGAGATTATAATTTCCATCACCATGCTAGCCCAAGACATTTTTCTACCTGAAACAAAGAGCCAGAATCTAATCACAAAAAAAGAGGCGGCGGCAGCGACGAAAGAGGAGGAGGAGGAGACATAAGTAAAACTTGCAGTGTTTACTCATGCAGTTAAATCATCTATAGAAATAAAACCATTTAACTTAAATGTTTGGAAGACAAAAAGATAAACAGTAGCAAAGCAGCACACTTTTCAAAACACTTGCAGTCAGCCCCTAAAAGCCTGTTGGGACAGAAATGTTTTCATTTGCAGACAGAAGGACAGCAAGAAGAAGTTCCAAAGCCAAGGAGGAACCATTAGAAGTCCCTTTCTAATGATAGCACCAAATTTCCCTGCGACCGCTCCTGAAGTTCTTTGAGCCCAAACAGGGTAATATAGGAAGTTATAATCCTTCAAATAGCCTGGACTCAATCTGAATAGGGATTTATAGGACATAACAAGGACTTTTCCTTTTCTTTCATTTGTGGCCAGACCATGGACCTTTTTGTCCCACAGCTGCCGCCCCACCCCCCATGCAAAGAGCCACTCCTTCACCAACCTTCTCTTCTAAATCTCTTTGGTATAACACCTATCTCGTATAAGGTTTAGTATAATGGATATTCATTCACACTGTAGACAGTGTTTCATAAAGTAACAACAAAACTTTATTTGCAAATAACAATGTTTCACTTGGTCTTGCTGCACTTGTTATAATTGGTTACAGTTACAAATAATACTCTAAAACATTCCTTTCCTTAGAACACTTTCAATTACCCCCACAGGACACTCTTAGCCCTTCTTTAGGTACCGTTACCACTATTTCTTAACCAGCCTCTACTACCAATAGCCCTCAGAATATTCTCTTTATTAACTCCCTCACTTGGAGTTTAGTCTGGGCATTAGGCCCATCTCTTCTGGACCTTAACCCTGTTCCACTCTAGAACCCTCACTGTCTGGAATCCAAACCCTCTGACTTCCAACTGTTCCTAATGGAATTTCCCTCTTACAGCCCAACATTTGATTAGCTGTTGCTAGCTCAGTCCTAATTGGTTGTCACCAGTGCTGGCACTAACCTGCCTCCTCTCCACAATAACCAGCACTTTAAATTGCGCTTAGAAATGGACCAGCAACTAGTTCAGCAGTTGCAATGATATTCCACCCACCCCACCCTTGACCCACTCCTCATACAGGTGATGTCTGCAAAGGCTAGGATACTGTGGCAGCAGCCCAGAGTATTGTGGCCCCAGAGCTGCCCTTACATGCCCCCATTACTTAGGGCCCTCTGTTGTGACACTGGACAACTGTTTGCATGCATGTTCCACTATGCCATCCAGTGTGGTGGCCACCACTGCAAGTCTCTGCTCTGACATCGAAAAGATGCCTAGTGTTGATCACATGGCTGGGTTCTTCATTCTGACCTCAGAGCAAAGTGACCCATAATAGTGGCACATGCACCAGGCAGCACAGTGGGATGCACATGTGAATAGCTGTCCAGCATTGCATCAGAGGGCTCTGGATCTTTCAGGAAGATCCAGAACAAATAGTAAGTTTTTAAATCTGTTATAAGGGGAGGGGGAGGTATATCCCTGGCTTGCTGCTGAATGGTCTGGACATGGTCTTGACTGTTTGAACCTGACTTGGGTATTGGGCCCTTCATCAGCCTTACTCCTCACAGAGAGAACAGGGTATTTGACCCATGTAGACAGAGCCAAAGAAACCAATCACATGGTTTAATTGTATGCCAACATTGGCAGTGCTCTCCATTGTGCCTGAGATACCAGGCTAATTTTTGGAGCAAGATAAGTTGAATGATATGCACTGATCTGTACTCCAATGTATTGCTATTGCTCTTCCTTTCACAAACATCTGTAGATTGAGACAGACACCTAA